ACCCTACGCAATACCTTATAGGGGCCAAGGAACCTGGGCGCGAATTTCATTGAGGGGACCCTGAGGCGGAGATTCTTGGAGGACAACCAAACCCTATCACCCGGGACATAAGAGGGAGCAGCACCCCTACGACGATCAGCAAATCTCTTCTGAGTAGCAGTCGCACGAGAAAGAGTAGCATGGACCTGATCCCACATCTTCTGTAAGGAGGTGAGTTGCTCGTCCAAAGCGGGTATTCCCTTGTCGGAGAACACGCCGGGAAGGACAGAGGGTTGGAACCCATAGGCAACCATAAAAGGACTTAAGCCAGTGGACGAATGAGTCACAGTGTTCCTGGCGAATTCAGCCCAAGGAAGGAGGTGAGACCAGTTGTCCTGGTGTGCATTCGTGAAGCAACGTAAATATAACTCCACAGATTGATTCGCCCGTTCGGCCGCTCCATTAGATTGTGGATGATAGGAGGAAGTAAACGACAAGGAAATCCCCATCTCAGCACAAAAGCCCCTCCAAAACCGAGAGACAAATTGAGGACCCCTGTCAGATACGATATCCTGTGGTATACCATGCAAGCGGAAAACCTCTTTGGCAAATACCTGAGCCAACTGAACCGCAGAAGGTAGTTTCTTAAGTGGAATAAAGTGTGCCATTTTAGAGAATCTATCAGTCACAGTCAAAATTACTGTCATTCCATCGGATGAAGGAAGATCCACAATAAAGTCCATGGATAAGTGGGTCCATAGTTTCTTGGGTACGGATAAAGGCATTAGGAGTCCCGGGGGTTTGACATTAGGGGACTTACACTGTGCACAAACACGACAAGCCTGCATATAATCCACTACGTCTTGCTTAAGTGAAGGCCACCAAAACTGTTGAAGGAGACCCTTGTATGTCTTGGTAACCCCTGGGTGGCCAGCCGTTTTGGCGGTGTGAAATAAAGCTAATAATTTATTTCTATCTTTTTCTTTCACGTATAGTCTACCAACAGGTGTCTCAGAGGGTGCTTGGGTTTGGTATGCCTTGATACCATCAAGGAAAAGAGACGAAATAACTAAACGGGTAGCAGCTTTTATCTTAGACGTGGGTACAATGGGTTCAGGAGCGGGGGGCGATAGACTCCAAAGGTTCGTATTGTCGGGAGATAGCATCAGCCTTGACATTACGGTACCCAGGCCTATATGTGATAATGAACTGAAAGCGTGAAAGAAATAAGGACCATCTGGCTTGACGAGAGGACAACCTTTTAGCATCAGCTATATAGGAGAGATTCTTATGATCAGTTATAACCAGGATTTTGTCTCTAGCTCCTTTTTATAAGTACCTCCAATCTTTAAAAGCCATCACAATAGCTAATAGTTCCCTATTCCCGAAGTCGTAATTCTTTTCCGAATCAGACAGTTTTTTAGAAAAGTAACAACAGGGATGGAGGGGTTCATTATAGGATAATCTTTGTGATAATACAGCTCCTATACCTGATTCTGAAGCGTCTACTTCCATTATAAAGGGAAGGGAAGGATCAGGATGGTGTAACACAGGGGCAGTGGCAAATGCCTTTTTGAGAGTTTCGAAGGCTTTAATGGCTTCAGGAGTCCAAACCCTGGGGTGCAAAGCCTTTTTAGTTAGTTTCGTGATAGGAGAAATGACCGAAGAAAAGTTTTTAATAAACCTGCGATAATAATTGGCAAAGCCTATAAATCGCTGTATTGCCTTAAGGCCTTGAGGGAGAGGCCAAGACAATATGGCTTCTAATTTAGAAGGATCCATGCTGAACCCCTGTTCAGAAATGATGTACCCTAGGAATTGTACTGATTTCTGGTCAAATAAACATTTCTCCAATTTACAATAAAGACCGTTCTGTATCAATCTCTTAAGTACCTTCCTCACATGGGCATGATGTGACTCCAAATCAGGAGAATATACAAGTATATCATTGAGATAAACCACAGCACAGACATGCAGTAAATCTCTAAGGACATAATTTATGAGGTCCTGAAAGACAGCAGGAGCATTGCACAGTCCAAAAGGCATGACTAGATACTCGTAATGCCCACTGCGTGTATTGAACGCTGTCTTCTATTCATCATTTTCTTTTATACGAACCAAGTTGTAAGCCCCCCTGAGGTCTAGTTTAGTAAAATATCTAGAACCTTTAATACGGTCAAACAACTCAGTAATGAGAGGGATAGGATAAGTGTTTTTAACTGTTATATTATTCAGGCCCCTATAGTCTATACATGGCCTCAAATCGCCCTCTTTCTTGGCAACAAAAAAGAAACCAGCACAACGCTGGATCACCGCTATAGCGCTGAGGTGGCGTCATGTGAACCACGTGAGCAGGAGCGGGTACTGGATCAGGAATGGGTTCTGGCACAGCAGCAGCAGCCTCCTGGACGGCAGGTTGCAAGTGGTCAGTACGAGCCAGTATGGTTTGCAAAGCCTGAGCAAACTGATCCATACGGTGGTCTAAACCATCCATTCTAGCCTCCTGATTTACTAACAGCTGTGGAATGTCAGCAGGTTCCATGGTGGCCCTGTTGTAATGTCACGATTCCGGAACCTAACGCGCTAACAGGACACGGATCCCTGACAATAAGATAATGTCCTATAATACTGTAGTACTCGGTCAGTATTAGATCCGTAGGATAAGTTAATGTCATGTAATACTGTAGTACTCTGTGGGTATTAGATCCGTAGGATAAGTTAATGTCATATAATTCTGTGTTACTCGGTGAGTATTAGATACATAGGATAGGTTAATGTCTTATAATACTATAGTACTCAGTGAGTATTAGATATGCAGGATAAGTTATTATTATTATTATTGTTATTATTGCCATTTATATAGCGCCAACGGATTCCGTAGCGCTTTACAATATTTTGAGAGGGGGGGTGTAACAATAAATAGGACAATTACAAGAAAACTTACAGGAACAATAGGTTGAAGAGGACCCTGCTCAAACGAGCTTACAGACTATTGGAGGTGGGGTATTTGAAACATTAGGACAATAAATATCAAGTAGGAGTGAAGCAGAGCTGGAGGAGAGAGCAAAGCACTGTCCCATAGGAGAGAGCAGGAGACAGGTATGTAAGGTAGAGATTACTCTGGGAGGCCATAAGCTTTCCTGAAGAGATGGGTTTTAAGGCCCTTCTTAAATGATTGAAGACTAGGGGAGAGTCTGATGGCAGTAGGCAAGCTATTCCATAGGAGAGGAGCCGCCCGCGAGAAGTCCTGCAAGCGCGAGTTGGCCGTATGGGTGCGAGCAGCCGTCAGGAGGTGGTCACGGGCAGAGCGGAGGGTACGTTGAGGGGCATATTTATGGATCAGTGAAGAGATATAAGCGGGGCTAGAACTGTTCAGTGCTTTAAATGTATGAGTTAGCACTTTGAATTGACTCCTATAGCATACAGGGAGCCAATGTAAGGACCGGCAGAGGGGTGAGGTGTGAGAGGACCGACTAGAGAGGAAAATCAGTCTAGCTGCAGCATTCATTACAGACTGTAGCGGGGCAATACGGCTTTTGGGGAGACCAATCAGGAGAGGGTTACAGTAATCCATGCGGGAAATTACTAGAGCATGGACAAGCTCCTTGGTAGCATCTTGCGTAAGAAAGGGGCGAATGCGGGCTATGTTTTTGAGTTGGAACCTACAGGACTTGGCAACAAACTGGATGTGAGACTCAAAGGTGAGACCAGAGTCAAGTATGACGCCAAGACAGCGCGCTTGCAGGGATGGACTTATGTGGATATCACTGACTTGAAGGGAGAGCGAGAGAGGAGGATCAGTATTAGGAGGAGGAAAGACAAGGAGTTCAGTTTTAGAGAGGTTAAGTTTCAGAAAGCGTGAAGACATCCAGTCAGAGATGGAAGAAAGGCAAGCAGTGACACGTTGCAGGACAGCAGGGGAGAGGTCCGGGGAGGAGAGGTATATCTGAGTGTCATCAGCGTACAGGTGGTAGTGGAATCCAAAAGAGGCAATCAGTTTACCAAGAGAGGCGGTATAAAGAGAAAATAGAAGGGGACCAAGGACAGACCCTTGGGAAACTCCAACCGAGACAGGACGAGTGGAGGAGGTATCCTTGGAAAAGGAGACACTGAATGAGCGTTGGGAGAGATAGGAGGAAAACCAAGAGAGGACCGAGTCACAGAGACCGAGCGATTGAAGAGTTTGAAGGAGGAGAGCATGATCAACGGTGTCAAAGGCAGCAGAGAGGTCAAGGAGAATTAATATGGAGTAATGACCTTTGGATTTAGTGGAGATTAGGTCATTAGTCACTTTGATAAGAGCAGTCTCAGTAGAGTGGAGAGGGCGGAAGCCAGACTGAAGAGGGTCAAGGAGAGAGTTGGAATTAAGGAAGCGGGACACACGGGTAAAGACAAGCCTTTCCAAAAGCTTTGATGAGAAAGGGAGCAGGGATATGGGACGATAGTTAGAAGGGGAGGATGGGTCAAGAGATGGTTTTTTCAGGATAGGTATTACCAGGGGCGGACTGAGAGCCTTTGGGGCCCCCGGGCAAAATTAGATCCCAGGCCCTTTGAAGGCCAAATATATGTGCATTTTAATAAATGTTAAATATAATTCATAATACGGCATTCCTTTGGATGTGTGTATTGTGAAGACCTGTGTATCAATGCATGTTTGTATTTGAGTCTGTGTAAATGCACTTGTGCATGTCTGGATGACTACATGTGCTTTTTTGTATATAGTGTCTGTGTGAATGCATATGTGACAGGTGACAGAGTGTGTGAGGGAGAAGGTGACAGGTGGAAGAGTGTGGGAGGTTGTGACAGGTGGCAGAGTGAGGGGGTACCTGGTGGCAGAGGGAGGGAGGGGTTGAGTGGTGGCAGAGTGAGGGGGAGACACAGTGAGTGGGGGTGACTGGTGACAGAGTGAGGGAGTGGGTGACTAGTGACAGAGGGAAGGAGAGGGGGAGACTAGTGACAGAGGGAGGGAATGGGAGACTAGTGACAGAGGGAGGGAATGGGAGACTAGTGACAGAGTGAGGGAATGGGTGACTAGTGGCAGAGTGAGGGAGGGAAGGGGTGACTAGTGACAGAGCGAGGGGATGACTGGTGACAGAGTGAGGGGGGGGTGACTGTCACTAGTCACCCCATCCCTCTTTCTGTCACTAGTTACTCCCTCCCTAACTCTGTCACTGTGTCACCCGCTCCCTTCCTCTGTCACTAGTCACCCCCTCCCTCACTCTGTCACTAATCACCCCCTCTCTCCCTAGTCACCCCCTTCCTCACTCTGTCACTAATCACCCCATCCTTCTCTCTGTCACTAGTCACCCCATCCCTCTCTCTGTCACTAGTCACCCCATCCCTCTCTCTGTCACTAGTCACTCCCTCCCTAACTCTGTCATTGTGAAGGAAGGAAGGGGTGACTGGTGACAGAGTGAGGGAAGGGATCACTAGTGGCAGAGTGAGGGAAGGAAGGGATGACTGGTGACAGAGTGAGAGAGGGTGTGACTAGTGACAGAGTGAGAGAGGGTGTGACTAGTGACAGAGTGAGAGAGGGGGTGACTAGTGACAGAGTGAGAGAGGGGGTGACTGTCACTAGTCACCCCATCCCTCTCTCTGTCACTAGTCACTCCCTCCCTAACTCTGTCACTGTGTCACCCCGTCCCTCACTCTGTCACTAGTTACCCCCTCTCTCACTATGTCACTAGTCACCCCCTCTCTCACTATGTCACTAGTCACCCCCTCCCTCACTATGTCACCCCCTTCCTCACTCTCACTAGTCACCCCCTCTCTCACTCTGTCACTAAGGACAGAGGGGGTGATTAGTGACAGAGTGAGGGAGGGGTGACTAGTGACAGAGTGAGGGAGCAGGTGACACAGTTAGGAGGGAGTGACTAGTGACAGAGGGATGGGGTGACTAGTGACAGTCACCCCTTCCCTCACGCTGTCACTAGTCACCCCCTCTCTCACTCTGTCACTAAGGACAGAGGGGGTGATTAGTGACAGAGTGAGGGAGGGGGTGACTAGTGACAGAGTGAGGGAGCAGGTGACACAGTGACAGAGTTAGGAGGGAGTGACTAGTGACAGAGGGATGGGGTGACTAGTGACAGTCACCCCTTCCCTCACTCTGTCACTAGTCACTCACTCTGTCACCTGTCACTCCCTCACTCTGTCACTAGAGTGAGGGGGCGACTAGTGACAGAGTGAGGGAAGGGGTGACTAGTGGCAGAGTGAGGGAAGGAAGGGGTGACTAGTGACAGAGTGAGGGAGGTGGTGACTGTCACTAGTCACCACCTCCCTCACTCTGTCACTAGTCACCACCTACCTCTGTCACTAGTCATCCCCTCCCTCACTCTGTCACCAGTCATCCCCTTCCCTCACTCTGTCACCCCCTCACTCTGTCACTAGTCACCCCCTCACTCTAGTGACAGAGTGAGGGAGGGGGTGACTAGTGACAGAGTGAAGGAGGTGGTGACTGTCACTAGTCCCCCCCTCCCCTCCCTCACTCTGTCACTAGTCACCCCCTCCCTCTCTCTGTCACTAGTCACCCCCTCCCTCACTCTGTCACTAGTCACCCCCTCTCTCACTCTGTCACTAGTCACCCCCTCCCTCACTATGTCACTAGTCACCCCCTTCCTCACTCTGTCACTAAGGACAGAGGGGTGATTAGTGACAGAGTGAGGGAGGGGGTGACACAGTGACAGAGTTAGGAGGGAGTGATTAGTGACAGAGAGAGGGATGGGGTGACTAGTGACAGTCACCCCCTCCCTCACTTTGTCACTAGTCACCCCCTTCCCTCTCTCTGTCACTCCCTCACTCTGTCACTAGTGTGAGGGGGTTACTAGTGACAGAGTGAGGGAAGGGGTGACTAGTGGCAGAGTGAGGGAAGGAAGGGGTGACTAGTGACAGAGTGAGGGAGGTGGTGACTGTTACTAGTCACCACCTCCCTCTGTCACTACTCCCTCCCTCCTTCTGTCACTACTCCCTCCCTCCTTCTGTCACTACTCCCTCCCTTCTTCTGTCACTAGTCACCCCCTCCCTCACTCTGTCACCAGTCATCCCCTCCCTCACTTTGTCACCAGTCATCCCCTTCCCTCACTCTGTCACCCCCTCACTCTAGTGACAGAGTGAGGGAGGGGGTGACTAGTGACAGAGTGAGAGAGAGGGTGACTAGTGACAGAGTGAGGAAGGGGGTGACACAGTGACAGAGTGAGGGAGGGGGTGACTAGTGACAGAGTGAAGGAGGTGGTGACCGTCACTAGTCAGCCCCTCCCTCTCTCTGTCACTAGTGACACCCTCCCTCACTCTGTCACTAGTCACCCCCTCCCTCACTGTCACTAGTCACCCCCTCCCTCTCTCTGTCACTAGTGACACCCTCCCTCACTCTGTCACTAGTCACCCCCTCCCTCACTGTCACTAGTCACCCCCTCCCTCTCTCTGTCACTAGTCACCCCCTCCCTCACTCTTTCACTAGAGTGAGTGGGTGACTAGTGACAGAGTGAGGGGGGTGACTAGTGACAGAGTGAGGGGGTGACAGGTGACAGAGTGAGGGAAGGGGTGACTAGTGACAGAGGGAAGGAAAGGGTGACTAGTGACAGAGGGAGGGGGTGACACAGTGAGGGAGGTGGTGACTAGTGACAGAGTGAGGGAGGTGGTGACTGTCACTAGTCACTAGTCACCACCTCCCTCCCTCTGTCCCTAGTCACCCCTCCCTCTGTCACTAGTCACCCCCTTCCTCACTCTGTCACTAGTCACCCCTTCCCTCTCTAACGCTGTCAACTAGTCACCACTTCCCTCCCTCACTCTGTCACTAGTCACACCCTCCCTCACTGTCACTAGAGTGAGGGGGTGACTAGTGACAGAGTGAGGGAGGTGGTGACTGTCATTAGTCACCACCTCCCTCTGTCACTACTCCATCCCTCCTTCTGTCACTAGTCACCCCCCTAACTCACTCTGTCACCAGTCATCCCCTCACTCTGTCACCAGTCATCCCCTCACTCTAGTGACAGAGTGAGGGAGGGTGTGAGTAGTGACAGAGTGAGGGAGAGGGTGACTAGTGACAGAGAGGGGGGGTGACTGGTGACAGTGAGGGGGGGTGACTGGTGACAGTGAGGGGGGGTGACTGGTGACAGTGAGGGGGGTGACTGGTGATAGTGAGGGGGGGGAGGGGGGTGATTGGTGCCTACCTGCATCTCTGCTCCCTCTTCTCTCCCCGGCTGCTGCTCCTTCTCCTTCTCGGCTCTGTGTGAGAGGAGTAAACAGGAAGTGATGTCACTTCCTGGCCTCTCCCATCACACAGAGCCGCATGGGAGAGGAAGCAGGAGACCTGGCAGAGAGTGGCTGAAGCTGCCAGGTCTCCATGGGGTGGGGGGTGACTAGCAAAACGGTAGGTTGTGGGGCCCCGCGCTGCATCAGGGGCCCCACAACCTATCAATTAAAAAGTTTTATTTTATTATTTTGCCGTTCCAGCTGGAGAGATCGCTGATCTCTCCAGCTGGAGCATGGCTGTGCAGCCGGGCCCCTGACTGCCTCGGGCCCTCGGTCCATGACCGAAGTGCCCGAGTGGTCAGTCCGCCCCTGGGTATTACAGTGGCATGTTTAAGGTCAGCAGGAACAGTGCCAGAAGAGAGAGAGCAGTTAAAGATGTGTGTTAGGGTAGGCACAAGACAAGGGGAGAGAGATCTGATGAGGTGAGATGGGACAGGATAGAGCGGGCAAGTGGTGGGGCGAGAGGAATGGAGAAGCGCAGTCACCTCTTGTTCAGTAGCCGGGTAGAAAGTCTGGAGGGTAGGGAAAGCAAGATTTACATGTGGTTGAGAAAGAGAACGGCAAGGAGGGGAGAATTGTTTCCTTAGCTGTTCAATCTTGTTGGTAAAGTAGCATGCAAAGCTATCAGCTGTAAGGTTAGTTTGGGGGGTGGCCACAGCAGGGCGGAGAAGGGAATTAAAGGTGTCAAAGAGGCGTCTGGGATTGCGGGAGCATGAACTAATGAGAGAGGAAAAGTATGACTGTTTGGCGAGGGCGAGGGCTGCGCTGTATGAAAGCAACATGAATCTATAATGGAGAAAGTCTGCCTGGGTGCGGGACTTCCTCCAGGAGCGTTCAGCACAACGGGAGCAACTCTGCAGATGGCGTGTTGATTTATTATGCCAAGGTTGGGGTCGTGTTCTCCTCGAGGTGCATGTTTTGAGTGGGGCTGCAGCGTTCAAGGCAGATGTGAGGGTAGTGTTATATGTGGAGATGGCCAGTGAGGGACAGGAGAGGGAAGGGATGGATAGCAGTTGTGAATCAATGTCAGCTGACAGCTGCTTGAGGTCAATAGAGTTAAGGTTCCTCCTGAGCTGAGGGGGGTTAGGCTGAGATTGTTGGGTGAGGGGGTAATTGAGAGCAAATGATAAGAGGTGGTGATCAGAGAGAGGAAATGGGGTGTTGCAGATATTAGATATTGTACATGAAGAAGAGAAAATAAGGTCGAGGGTATTGCCAGCTACATGAGTGGGAGAATTAGCCCACTGCAAAAGTCCAAGGGAGGAAGTGATTGAAAGTAGTTTAGAGGCTGCTGGGGTCAAAGGTGGGTTAACCGGCTGTGTGAACATACACAATATTCACATACATATTTGACAAAAATACCTTAGTAAACAGATATAACGCATATATTAATGTTAAATATAATATTTAAAAGACATACAAATACTGCATGAATATAATTCAAATAGAAATAGCCAAAAAAAAAAGACCAGGTATTGGGGATAGCTATTTTGGGGAAGGAGTTTTATATGTTTAAATTCATTCACAGGGCAAGGTTGGAACTGTAATAATAGATCCAAGTTCCCAAACTTTAGTTCTTAGACTATAATATTCAATACATGACATTTACTTAAAATGTATCCAACAAAAAGTATACTGGCAAAGTTTTCTTCTTGATTGAACATTTATATGTGATCCTTAACATAACTGATTTAACATTGTTAAATTAACTCAATGGAATTAAAGAGTATGATTAAACTCCTGTATATGAGTCTGTGGGGGAGATATCCACAGTAAGCATGTTCATTAAGAGTCTGTCATGAGGTCATCTTTTTGTTTCAAGGCTTCATGCATTGCTTATGTCACTATGAAACCATTTGTTTACGTGTGACTGTCCAATCACAGACTTTCCAATGCAGGGCATTGAGAAGGAGTTCTAATCAATTGCCGACCTCTTAAGGTTTAGTTTAACTGAGCTAAACAAACCAGGAAGTAACAGGATCGGTTGTCTGACTGACAGTCTGGGGAGTGTAACTAAGTTTATTTATAAAAGTGTACATTTCTGTTAAAATAAAAAAGAGGACACTGCACACTCTCAACTCTTCACAATCTGGCGTTTCCTTTGGCTATAGACTTCACTGCAGTGCCTTAATTTGGATTTCTGTACTAATTGAAAAATTAACCTGTTATTTTGATCCTTGCTCAAACTTCTATTTCACTCCCTTCCTATTTCCTACCCTTTCTCTTCAGTTTTAGTTTATCTTCCCCACTTTACCTTATTAAATAGTTTTATTATTGATGTTTCACTATAAAGATTTAAGCTTATTTATTGTTTATTTCGAATGCAATGCCTGCTTTTTTTCCCTATTTTATGAAACTCCCCAATAGTGTTCATGATTAAGATGGACAACATACATTTCATAGAAAGAAACTAAAAGCTATTGTGAAATATGAAATTATATAGCAAACTGACATAGTATGTGGTTTTGATTTATGGTCAAAGAGTCCCATCACAGTAGGTGAGTGCTTCCAGTGCTCTAAGACTACAGTCCTGGGCACCTCAATTAAACTATATTCCTTACTCACATGAGGACATGGTATAGAAAGCGTCATACAACGAGGAGTTTGTGTGCACATACAAATTCTAAACAGTTTGAGCAAAAACTTGGGCTACTGCTCATAGAATGTTTGCATTATAATAACTGCACTGGACTTCAATGTTTGTGGTGCCACTTTCAGATTATAACCATAATCACTGCAACAGCCAGAAAATAAGTAACTGAGCATGAATCCCTGTCTGTGCCTTTATTTTAAACAGATGTACCTTTCTTTGTTTTCCTTTCTTCACTTAAGTTGTTAAAACACACTAACTGATTAATAAAGATAAAGAACTAGATTTGTGTTCACTTTTTTAGACATCGTAATTGTTTTTACTTATAAGGCAACCGCATATTCCACAGGATGATTTAACTAATTACAAGTTGTTGTTTTTTTTTTTAATTTTTTTTTTTTTTTTTAAATAAGGCAAATTCAGAAATCGATTTATTTGGCATGTGAGTTTAAAATGGTGTATCTTCCTAAAGTATAGCTGAGGCTGATTGTTTGTATTTATAAGTAGGGTGTTTTATTTAAATGCTAGTTTGTTATATATTTGCGGGTGGTAGAAGGCTTAACACATACACACACACACACACACACACACACACACACACTAAATGAACATTATAGTTCTAAAAATAGAGGGATACTGTTTGAAAATATAGGGTAAGTTCGGCTATAAAAAATGTAAGTTCTTCAGTAACACTATATGAGTGAGCAGGCTACTGTAGAAGTGGATGCAATAACCTATAGGTCAAACTCTTTATTGAATTTCTTGGAACAGACCACCCTGTTAAAAGCTCTTCATTGACTGAGTCATTAATTATTCATTAAATTGAACCAGTTTTCCAGCTCATTAGAGGTTGACAACTATCATGTAATCTTTTTTTTTTATTGGATAAAAAGATATTGAAAAAGGAAAATTCTTTCTGCTAAATAATATCCCAGAGTTACTATAAAGTACTCAAGATTCAAAGGATGGAATCTTGAGGAGTTGGATGATCAATCTAATTACTTCAGTTGTAGGATTAGTGGGCAGATGTGATCATAAAGTATGAAAAAATAAACCTTCAATACTTTAAAACTTTCACATATTCTAGCGCTGTCTGAATGCATAATGTAAAGAAAAAGTAAAAAGCAAAACTTTTAAAGGAAAAGTGATTTACTATTTTACTTCTTACTGGATATTTAAGTCAAACCTTTATTTGACCTGTTAAGGAATGTGTTTGCAATTTACAAATTTTGCATGTGATTTTCAACACTAAAATAAAAATAATGGTTTTACAGAGATGTTTACACCCTAGTAAATGGGGAATGTTTTCTTGACTGTATTACTCCAACCACCATGACCACTTCTGCTTTTTGAACTGGTCAAGGTGCAAGCAATTGGTATGTGCAAACTGACTATACATAGAAATCAGTGAATGTGTGCTGGAGTGTATATACTATTCCGACCCCTGTGACTGAGCCAGAAACTACGTTTGAGGTTGACTAATGTCAATTCTGTGCATTAAACATGTAAGTAGCTGAACACTGGCAACAGAAATAATGAGCTTTGTCATTCACAGTCAGCACTATGAGCGTGCCTGCAAGGAGAAACTTGTTGGACTGTGTTCAAGCTGCTCTATTGCGCACAGTCTAAAGTACTGTCTCAATGAAAATGTGTTCCCTCCCTCCCTAATGCCAGCCTTCCCCCTACATTATATGTTATACTTATTTTTTCCCCTCTACTTGTTCACCCCCTAAATCACTCTCTGTGCTGCCTACACTCCCTCCCTACATCAGATCAAGCACAACTTGGAAGTGAGGGAACTTTAGCTTCGAGAAAAGCTAAAGCTTGTGAACACTCACACTGTGCGCATGTGCAGTCTAGTGTTCACTGTTTCTTATAGAGACATACTGGA